GGGTGGCCCTGCACGGCATAGCTCATGGCTTCATTGAGTTATGCAGGCCCCTTCACCATGACAAGGCAGTGATCCATGAAGAGAAGTCTTAATATGGTGCCATAAGAAATGCTTAATATGCATTTCTTAGATAGAATATATCTATTACATTCTCTGAAATATTCCCAACAGTCACCTCATGGTTAGATGTTGCCAAACTACGATCCTGAGATAACTACATCCTATTTACAACAACAAGAAGGAAAAACTTTTAGAGAGAGATTTGGAGAGGCTACCTACTTACCTATCTCATAACAATGAAAAACTGTGAAAAAACTGGAATACAAATCATGCACTGGGGAAAAAAAGTGAACTCTGTGATGCTTAAAGATGACAGATTTAAAGAATACAGAAAGACCCAGTAGCCCAAAAAGAAAAACAGGAGTCATAAACAACATACAATGTAAGGACTGTAACAGCCATTATGTAGGACACACAGGCAGAAGACTAGCAGAGCACATCCATGAACACCAACTAGCAGTCAGAAGACACAATGAAAACTCCTTAATCTCACAACCCATGGACAGACTCAACCATAGTTTAAACCGGTAAACTGTGAACATCCTAGACCAAGCTAAATCCGAAAACACTAGGGAATTCCTGGAAGCTTGGTATTCAAACAAATCATCTATCAATAGACACATAGAAATAAACCATATTTACACACCATTCCAGAGACAACAAAAAGCTAACAAGGAAACAAAAAAGGCCAGAACACCAGCAGCCAACACCCAAATAAGCAAGTATTAACACTAGACAAACCATCAAGCAGAAAACAATACCCTAATCAAGGAACTACCAAGGAGAAAATCACACCCCCACCAACACTGGCAGAGCAAGCTACTGTAGGCAGTCCCTGGATTCCGGGGTTCCACAAGTTCCAGGGTTCCACAAATTCTGTTCCTAAGTCTTTAACTTGAATTTGTATGTAAATCGGAACACATACTTACGAACAGGCTGCCTAGTACTAAAAAGGGCGGACGCCATTCTCATTCCTCAAGCCAATGAACTGCTGAAGCCGTGCAATGTTTTTATGAACCAGTAAAAACTGCTGAAAACAGGCTGTATATTAAAAATGCGCGGCTTCAGCGGTTCATGAAAACATTGCGTGGCTTTAGCAGTTCATCAGCTCTAGGAAGGAGAACACCGTCTGCCATTTTTATTAACTATGAGTTGTCCGTAAGTTGGACATTTTTAATCTGGGGACTTCTTGTATACAAACAGGAAGCAAACCCCACACTCACTCACACTAATGATGTTACCTAGTCAGGTAATGAAATGTCTGCAAGCAAACAACCAAGCTGAGATAACACCAAGGACTCCATAGAAGACAGATTTACAGAAAGAAAAATTCAATTTTGTATGACTTGCATTCAGAACAGTTTATATTTATGATGAAACAAAGCTATGACTGAAAGAGGAGTAAACACTGAAGATATTCAATACATTTAAAAAGCATATACCAAAGCCTGCAAATATCATCAATAAGAAAATATTGAATAAGATGAAGTTGATACTCCTGGAACACAATGTGCTGTAATCCTTCTGGGGTTCTACCTGTTAAACAATGTGGGATGCTTGCAAAACCATCTAGAAATTATAGAAATGAAAGCTTTATTTCAATCTAATTTCCCAAAATCTTTTTTTAGTGATCCCTCCCCCATAAATGGGGCTACAGTCATTTTTAGATTTCAAATGGCTAAACAAACATCTGTTCAAAAAATACTTCAAAATGAAAGTAGCTTAAAACAGCTCTATAAAAACAGATCAGTGATTGTTCTATCACAATCACAAGTGATACAAAAGATAGGAAGAGCATATGCCTCCTCTGGTAACTAACAATACTTTTTTTAGATGGTGATGTGTCTGTTTATATCATAGAAACCACAACATCTAGAGTAATAATCTGAATTTCTAATAAAAAACTGAAAACCATCATTTATCATGGCAGAAATATTGATCTAGGTCTCTTTATCTCTGAGGTGAAAAGCATATACATTTTGCAATGAAAGAACTGGAAGCACCAACAACTACAGGACTGTGAGATGCTAGTGTTTTTCTCTATGATTTTCTCAGGTGAAACTGAATATTGATAGACAACTGATTTTAAAATAAAATTAAGTGCTAAAATAAAAAAGCCAAATCTAAAATAAAAAGCTGTACTATTTTGGGACTGGATGCTACAGCATGAAAATATGCATTTCTGAAGTATACTTACAGGGGATAATTTAAGATCCTGTAAGATGTCATCAAAATAATGATATTCTGAGTATTCCAATTCTACCATTTCATTCTTCAATTCCAAGATACGGCCCATTACACCATCCAGCACTTGCCGAATAATTAAGCGTTTTTGGGGGTGAACAGTCTGGTCATAAGCTGATTCCAAGTTGTGAAATATCTGCACGTATTTGATGTAGAAAGTAGCAAGCATCTGAAACACTACCAGGCGGTCTTTCAGTGGCTTTTGGGACTTCTCTTCAATCTCCTTTTGCAACAGACAGTTGAGGGATTCTTGGGCTTCTGCCCATATTTTATTATAAGTGCTAACAGAAAGAGGAAAAAACGTGTTAGTTCTTAAAGGAAGTATTAAATAATATACAATTGGCAATAAAATCTTATAGATGTCTAGTTTGAAGTAAATCTCATGATATTCAAATCCAGTTGAATTCAATTAAATGTACTTATTGTATATGAAATTCTAAACTTCATGAATTTTAGAATTCAACTGGAATTGGCTGATTCTGCTGATTTCTGGAACTATGGCTATTAAATCTGATACTGTCTTTTTAATTAATTCTTTGAGAGGGCATAGGTCATTTGGCTTTGAAGGAGGTGGTGCATCCCCTCCTCAAGAAGCCATCACCGGACCCAACGATTCTGGACAATTTTGGTCTAGTCTCCAACATTCACTTTTTGGGGAAGATTATTGAGAAAGGTGGTCAAGCAACAGCTCCAGAGGATCCTGGAGGAAATGGATTATCTGGACCCATTTCAATCTGGTTTCAGGACTAAGAACTGTATGGACATAGCATTGGTTGCACTTGTCAACAACATCTGGCAGAGCCAGGATGGGGTTGGTGTATTGATTTTAGTGTACACTGATCTCTCAGCAGCTTTCAAAACATTGTTTCATTCTGGATTGGTTGTGGGGATTGGCACCATGTTGCAGTAGTTCTTTCTTCACAGTCAGTCCCAGTCAGTGTTGATAGATGGAGAGATCAAATCCAGCCCCTCATTTGTGGGATGCCTGAAGGCTTGAAGCTCTTGCCCCTTTTGCTTAACATCTACAGGAGACTGCTGACTGGAGTTATCCATCAGTTTGGGGTCAGGTATTGCTACCTCTCTGGATAACAAGTATACATCTTGACCCCAGGCCAACCAAGTGATGCTGCTGGGGTCTTATCTTAAGTGTCTGGAAGCTATGTGGGTGTGAAGGGGGAGGAACAGGCTCAGACTCAATCCTGCCAAAACCAAATGGCTGTGGTTTTGGGGGGGGCATTCTGGGGACTTTCTATCTTCATGGGATGGGGTTGCACTTCCCCATTTGAGTGGTGCACAACCTGGGGGTGGTCTTGGATTCACAGCTCCTGTTCAAAGAGCAGGTGGCAACTATGGCCAAGCGGGCCTTTGCAGAGATTCATCTAGTATGCCAGTTGACTCCATTCCTGGATTGGGAGGCCTTTCAGATTAACTTAGGTCCTAGTCACCTCATGAATGGATTACTGCAATGCGCTCTACATGGAGTTGCCTTTGAAGACCACTCAGAAGCTACATCTGATGCAGAATCCAGTACATGGGCAGTGATGGGCATGCCATGCTATGCCCATGTGACCCCAATGCTTTGCAAGCTGTACTGGTTACCAGTTGGCTTCTGGGTGCAATTCAAGATAATGGATATTACCTATAAAGCCCTTCATGGCATAGGGCTTGGCAATTTGAGGAACAACCTATTTCTAATTGTTTCTGTCCATCTGGTAAGATCAGGCAGAGTGGGTATGGTTCAGGTCCCTTCAATAAAATAGTGTCATCTCTTGGGACCCCAGGAAACATGACTTCTCTGTTGCAGCATCCCCCCAGTGATCCATATAGTTCCCATCCTGATGACATTCAGAAAGTCACTGAAAACATGTTTTTTCCCAGGCTTTGGGGCAGAGTGCTGGTTGAGCCCCTGTAGGCTGTTTTATTGTTAAACAGAACTTGTCTTCTGGATACTCATGATGTTTCTTTTTTTTTAATTATTCTTTTTTTTTTAATGTAAGCTACCCAGAATCACCTGGAGTTGGACTGCCTATAAACTATATTAAATCAATAAATACAAGTTAAGAGATAAATTGCTTTTTGTTGACTTTTCTAGAAAAGCAAAATTTCCAGTCAATACTTTGGAATATGGAGACAATTTCCCCCCTATTTTTATTTTTGGGAAAAACAGAAATACAGTATGTGCCATTCATATATTCTTATCAAATCTAACAATTCTTAACGCAAAATGGATTATTTATAACTTTGCATATAAAATTTACTTTTTGACATATTTATGAACAAACAGATCTGTGCATATTTACTCAGATAACTATCCAGTGGACTTTTTTCCATTAAGCAAACATATGTGCAAGTTCAAAAATATAACTGCCTTAATGTTATTGTTTTTCCTTTTTTCTTTAGCCTTATTTATTTAGTAAATGTATGCTGCTTATATTGCAGAATCTGGTTTGTCTATATTTATGTTTCCTATTCCTCACTTGCCCTCTTAAATAAGACTGGTCATAGAGTGTAACAGATAAGTTCTTAGATTCTAAGGATAGGCTGTTCCTATAATGTATTTCCAAATATTTAATTTCCTTTCTGTTACAGTTGTTCAACCTGCTTCACTACTCACTGCTCAGGTCGGATTCCTGTTCTCAGGAATGTTCACAAAGAGCTTCAACTTCCAACATTAAAGGGGGGATGGAGGGCATGGATTGTTCTATGTTTGAGCACTGGGGGATAGTTGGGACTCTAAATAGGAAGACACTTGCTTCTGTTCGTTAGTGTTATTAACCGAGGGTTGGTATTAGAAGATGTGCCAGGGACATGGGGAGGAGTCAGGAACGGAACAAGTATTAAAATACAATCAACCCTTGACTTACTGGATTTAGCAATCTTCAGATTAAAAAAAAAAAAAAGCCATTTGCCATTTTATACATTTATTAAGCCATTTAGCACACATGTAAAATATATATGTAAAATACTTACATACAAAATCCTATTTATTTATTTAAAAAATTTATAAGGCCGCCCATCTTAAGCAAAAACCAATAAATAAAACAATCATAAAACAGTAAAACAATAAAACAAAAACCCTGTGCCTTAAAACCCTGTGCTGTTGCCCTACAGGAGGCTCAGCTGCCCTCCTTCCATACTATCTATCTATACAATCCTATCCCAGCGCATCAGTAAAAAGCCAGGTCTTAACAGCCTTCTGAAAGGCTACAAGAGCAGGGGCCTGTCAAATCACCAGTGGGAGGGTTCTTCCACAAGGTAGGGGCAGCCACAGAAAAGGCACACTTCCGAGGTCCCACTAGATGGCAAGATTTTAGGGAAGGGATCTGGACTGTGCCCACCCTATCTGATTTAGTGGGACGGGCAGATATTCTTAGGGAGAGGTGGTCCTGCAAGTAACCAGGTCCCATGCCATGTAGGGCTTTAAAGGTGATAACAACCAGCACCTTGAATTGCACCTGGAAGAAAACTGGGAGCCAGTGTGGCTTATGCAATAAAGGTGTAACATGGGCGAACCTATGGGCACCCAATACTGTGTGCGCTGCTGCATTCTGGACCAGGTGTAACTTTCAAGTGGTTTTCAAGGGCAGCCCCATGTAAAGTGCATTGCAATAATGCAACTGGGAGGTGACTAAGATGTGAGTGACTGTGAGCAAGACCTCCCAGTCCATGAAAGGTTGCAACTGGCGCACAGGATGGATCTGTGCAAAGGCCCCCTCAGCCATGGCTGCTACTTGCTTGTCAAGCAGGAGCCATGAGTTCAGGAGGACCCCCAAATTGTGCACCAGCTTGGTCCAGGCAAGTGCAACCCCATCCAGAGTCAAAGTTGGTAAGTCACCAGATCCTTGGGGGCCAAAAACCCAGAGATACTCTGTCTTGTCAGGGTTGAGCTGAAGTCAGTTCATCCCCATCCAGAGGCTTATAGCCTCCAGGCACTTGGACAGCCCTGCAACAGCATTATCTGCCTGGCCAGGGGTAGAAATGTATAGCTGGGTATCATCAGCATGCTGATGATACTGTACCCCATGCTGTCGAATGACCACACCCAGTGCTTTCATGTAGATGTTAAAGAGGACAAGGGAGAGACTCAAGCCTTGAGGCACCCCACACTGCAGGGGCCTAGGGCTCAACCTCTCTTCACTCACCAACACTGACTGGAACTGGCTATGAAGGAAGGAGGAGAACCACCGCAAAATGGTGCCTCCCACTCCCAACCCTCTGATCCGGTCCAGAAGGATACTATGGTCAATGGTATCAAAAGCCACTGAGAGATCCAGGAGAGACAGGACAGTTGCACCACCCTCATCCCGGGCCCTTCACAGGTGCAACCAATGCCATCTCAATGCTATATCCTGGCCTGAACCCAGACTGAAAAGGGTGCAGATAATCCGGTTCATCCAGGGCCCTTTGAAGCTACATGCCAACCACCCTCTCAACAACCTTCCCCAAAAAGGGAAGGTTGGAGACTGGACAAAAGTTGTCTAACACAGCTGGATCCAAGGATGGCCTCCTGAGAAGGGAGTGCACCACTGTCTCCTTCAAGGCAGTTGATACTAACCCCTCTGGTGAAGAGGCATTAACCACTGTTTGGACCCAGCCACATGCCACCTCCCGGGAGGCCTTAACCAACCAGGAAGGGCATGGGTCCATAAATCAGGTGGCCAAGCCCACAGCCACGAGGAGCCTGTCCATTTCCTCGAGATCAACCAGCTTGAACTCCTCCCAGATAACAGGGCTCAGAAATGCCTTGGTTACCAGCCAGAGTCCAACTCTGAGTGAACTTGAGTGATTTTATCTGCCAGATGCCAAGAATATTCCTCACAGCAGTCCTGCAGGGGCTGCCCTGGTTCCTCCTTACCTAGGAAAGACCTGGTCACCCAAAACAGGGCCGCTGGGCAGCTGTCCTTATCGCTACAAGGTAAGTGTATAGGCTATTCATTTAATAGACACTTTTACACATAGAATCCTATTCATTTAATGGGTCTAACGGAAACCCATTTCCTTCATTTGCTCATTAAATTAAGGGGATATTATAGTAACTAGCAAGATATGTTGGGAGGTTGCAACTGGCCTTTGCAAGGAAAGGTAAGCAAGTCCCCTTTCTTTTCAGATCGTGTCTAATCAAGAAAGTCAAGGTGAAAATTAAGCTGCTCATTCCATCCATTTAGATGAAAGCACTGACATGCATTATGCAGAACTGGCTGGAAAAAAAGTGGGGGATTAATCACTCTCAGCTCTATTCACCAGGTTACTGGTAAACAGGCAATCAGGCAAGGGCAAGGGT